TCCATCTAAATCTGTTCTATTGTGGCCCAGTCTCCACTGTCTCCTCCCATTAGGAGTGAGAGGCAGCATTAGAGGCCCTGAGCACGACACGATGGGCGCGTGCACACACACACACACACACACACACACACACGGATGCGTATACATACGCCGGTCTCCTGTTCTGAAGCGCAGCTCAATAATTTACTCAGTGAACAGCTGAAATCACATTTTAGTAACTCCTTCTCTAAAACTAATAATTCCACAGCAGTGATGGTAAGAACCCTACATAAGACATTAAATATGAAAAGTTAATAACCCCTAATATCAAAACAGACAGATCTGTAAAAACACAAGCTAAAATTTCACTAAAGAGGGAAAATACCACATACTTTGGACACTAAAAGCTCAAATCTGCTCAGTGGCAAAGACTGAATGAGACAGAAAAAGTCAGTACGCAGCATTAAGACGAGTAATTCTCAGTCAAAGCATAAATAATTTGATAGATTGTGATAAGAGTAAAAATAAATGAATGCACATTTTGATGTATGGATGACGGAACTAAAGGAATGAGCGGATGAGCGGTGTGAGGAGAGAGGGAAGGATAAGAGATGAGAAGAAATGAGCAGCGTTGCTCCTCACTATATATCACTCCCTCTCTTCTTTCAATCAGCGCTTTGGCATTCAATCACACACACACATACACACACACACGTTTAGCTTCACGGCCAGTGTGGTGTAATGGCTAATTGCAGTAAGTGTGTGTGTGTGTCACAGCTGGTACAGTCTCTCTTACTGCTCTTTCAACACATAAAGGCCAGCACTGACCCATGACAGACTCTCTCTCACACACACATACACACACACACACATGCATAGGGGGGAGAGAGAGAAATGATGGACTGAGCATAAATCAGAGACTTTCACATCATCAAGGCTTTACCAATGTGTGTGATGGTGTGTCTTCAACATCTACATGAATGTGTAATTGCATTTTTGCCACAGTTTGGTTACTTTTCAGCTACAAATGCACAAAAAATATGTGTGTGAGGGTGTGTTTCTGTGCACGTGTGTGCATGCATGTGTGCGTTCATGCGTACACGTGTGTCCAGCGGACCCCTAAGTGCTGGTGTCAGACAAAAGCAACCCCCCTCCCACCCCAACCACCCTCCTTCCCTCCTCTCACTCGGTCTGTCCCTCTCATTGCATCTCTCTCTCTTTACGGGGCTGAATTACCACTGGAATGCCCGGGACCCTTCACATGAGAGAGAGGCGGCCGTATGCATGAGTGTGTGTGTGTGCGTGTGGGGGTTTCTGCTGTGTTAGTGCGTGTGCACGTGTGTGTAGGCTGAGACAATGCTAAAACTGACAGACAACGAGTGCCGTAGGGACAGACGGACAGGCAAACAGACACACAAAAAGAAGAACAACACCTCCTCATACAGGCCACCAATAGGTCACACACACACTTACACATACAAACACACAATCACGCAGGCATGCACGAACCCATGCATGACAACAAACAGATGCAAATGCACACACACACACGCTCACACACTCAAACACACACACAGCCAACAAATCAGTGCGGCACATATTGACATGCTTTGACAGATGAATTAAGTAAATGATTTTATAAGGAGATTAAAAGGATTTTAATTTACGCAATCTCTCTTTGGTCCCCCCCGTCCCTCCCTCCAGTCAGCTTTACCTCTCTCCCTCTTTCTCTCTCTTCCTCCCTACTGCTTTCTCTCCCTCATGGCGGAGTGCACAAGAGACTGACTAAAAGAAAGAATACAACACATTAACACATTTTCTTAATTTTCTTAGACGTTTTCTTTTTACTCTCATTAATTCTATGCTGATCTTTTCTTTACCACAATTTTAAACAGCTGCAGAGGCATATGATCATTACCTTTTTTTAACACTATGACATCAGTACAAAGCAGTGCTATTTCAGTTTGAGTTAAACAGCAGTTGCTGATATTTTGAACTAACAGAGTACACGCAGAACGGTCGGCCTTTAAGTTTGAGGAATTTCATATTTGCCCGTTAATTTATCTAAATTACGCTATGTCACCAGGATAAACAGAAAAACCCCTAAATATTATTATACCTTTAAGGTCATGGTATAGCTCCAAAAATTAAACAATGCTTTCACTGCTGTCTTGACTCTACAAGATGAAACACTCTTGCAGGGTGGAAATTGCGCGTCATCGTTTTTACCCGATTAATCATTAAATCTGTACAAAAGGCAAAAATAATTCCCTAGAACTAAATGATTTTGCTTACATTTTTTCTGGCATGTATGAATTTAGTGTGATGAATTTAAATTTCTTGTCAAGGGCACACCTTGGCAGCATGCAGTTTCAAACGTGCACCAAACTGTTTTATTCAGCCGTCTTTTGACTGAACAGAAATTTAAATTTAGATTTACTCACAATCACAAATAATTTATTTGCATGACTTTTCCGTGTACTTAAAAAAAAGGGAAAAAATCAGGATTGAAAATAACTGACCGAAATAATTTGTGCTGCTATCTCTCACACTGCAAGCCTTTGACTGAACGATCAGCACGGCCGCTGTGCAGTTCCCACCACCCGTCTCCTTCACACCCACTGACAAAAACCACCAAATTCACTAAAGTCACTGCAGGAAATATATCTTAATGATATGCAAATGGTATGTATATGGTGGCATGAGGGGAATGCAATTATGTTAACAGCTTAAGCGGTACTTGTTGTTATTATTATTATCGGTATGATCATTATCCCTAATATTTTAATTAGTGCAGGAAAGCAGAGCCTGAGAGCAAAGGAGAGGATGCCTGAGCAGAGGAAAGAGAACGGTGGATGGATGAAGGAGCGGACAGACGGACAGTTGCATGAATGGATCTAGAGGATTTCTAAAATATGTGAGTGCGGTTCCAGCTTACGTGCACTTGAGGAAAACACACACAGGTAAAGCAGCACATTCCACTGCTGATTGTCTGACAGTGTGTTTTTCCATCTGTGTGTTTGCTCTCATGCTTTGCAGCTCTTCAACAAAACCTGGTCAAAAGTGGTCACTTTTATTACTGTCTAATTCAGAATCAAAAACAAGAGTTAAATGTTTCTAACCTGAATTGCTGTTGGTTCTTAAATACAGTGTGCAGGGTTGAGTCCAGTCAAAAATGTTCTGAATCCAGACTTTGCTCTGGAAATCCAGTCATTTGATTCACAAGAAGAAATGCTCAATATGAAAGGCTGCTCTAAAGACTCACCAAAACTCACCAAAAGCCTGATTTACGACATTGCATTTCTCTTCCAAAAATAATGATTAAAAAATGTTAAGGTGTTGGTTTTAAAATTATTATTAATGTTTCAATAAATGTAAAATTGTGCAAAAGGAATCGCTCTTTAGGCATTCGCAAATTATCTGTAACAAATTCAATCATAACTGAAACAAACTATCAAAAATCAGTTTCTTTAAATGATAACAGACAAGTTAAAGTGGTGTTATTTCAACAGCTGCCGTCTTTACTTAAAAATGTTCCTCTCTATTCCACACACTGTGTAGGTGAGAGTCTGCATGTAACACACACATATACACAGAGATACAAAGGTAAGACGGCTTCAAAGTACACCAAAAAAAATGTCATGTTTTCTTTAAAAATGTCAATAATGTGTTTGAGAAAACACATCAGAAAATCATCCTGCATCAGCTCCTGCTTTGACTTTGTCCTTTCAGTTTCCTATCTCCGACTTTCTACTGTGAGGACACTTTAACTGAGGCTGTGATTCACTGTAACTCATTTTGATTTATTTACTATAAAGCCAAGACCGCTTAGAACAAAAATACACTCAACATGTTGTATTTATTTCTATATATATTCACATAAAATCCTGGGATTAATTAACAGCAATGCAGATCTGACAGTATGAGTGCCATTAGTGAATTCATACCTACATGCAGAGAGAGTGCAGTCCATCTGCTGGATTACACTCTTCACTTTAGAAAAATCCATGTTTAACATTGTACTGTTTGAAAAGGGGTAACATGTATATTTACTACAGTTTAATCTAAGACTTTGTTTGTCCTTTTGTGCATTTTCATTAAACGCACCTTTCACGGTACGCGCACAATAACACACACACACACACACACACCGCTGTCCGTTCCGCCAATCAGTTAATCTGCATTTTGAACAGCGTCTTCAACATTCACCTAAAAGAGCAAAGCGCTGGCTAAAGGAGCAGCTCAGTGGCACTCGCTTGTGTGTGTGTGTGTGCGTGTGTGTGTGTAACTGTCTCTAATTCCTGTGCGGGGCCACACGCTGAGCTGCCTGTCTGAAATTCTACCTCCTCTGGCATTTAAGAGCACAGCTCTCCCCCTTTCCTCCTCCCTCCTCTCTTATGGGCCCTTGTCCTCCCGTCTCTCCACGTTATTCCTGTAACCTCAATGCCCTGTTACCTCTCTGATTCTCTGCTTGGACGAACACACACATAAAAAACACAAGCACACAAGCATAAACACGTGCACAGGGGTACACACAAGTAGACCAACTCTGACTGAGGTGCTGATTTGTCCTGAGAAGAATTTGACTAAAAGTAAAACAATGTCTTAAAAAGAGAGAAAGTGAAGGACAAACTGTATCTCTATGTTATCAATGAGTGTGTGTGTGAGTGTGTGTGCATGTGTGTGTGTGCGTGCAGGTGTGTCAGTGTGTGTGTATGTCTCGCTCTCAGGTGGAGGGACAGAAATTCCGCTCTTCTACCCACTGAGTAAGAGCTGCTGTCCGGATACTGCAGCCACACATAAACACAAACACAAACACACTCACACACTCACACAGACAGTGAACGCGTGCTACCTGACAGCAGAAACAACCTTGACATGGTGCCGGCCACCTCCGCTGCATACCAGCACACTAACACACAAACACTCACACACACACACACACTCACACACAATGACAGACAATGAAGATGACAAGTTGAAGGATGGAGAGCAGGATAAGATTAAAAGGTAAAATTTACCTACTCTTGTTCAGAGTGCATTAAAAAACACTCGGATAACGGGTGTCCTACCGACTCCATCGGCGATACCGGGTCATTGTCATGTCAACCTCCTCCAGGGAAAAAACAAGAAAATTTAAAAAAATAAAAAAATCAAAGTTTTTATATCTCTCCTCTCTCTCCTCCTCTTCTTTCTCCAGTGTCCCTCTCTCTCGGTCCTTCCTTCCGCTTGGAGGGAGCAATACAATTACCAGGCTCTGCGCTGCCTGCACTGATCAGCTCTGCGTGTGTGAGTGTAGATGTGAGGAAGCGTGTGTGTGTGTGTGCGCGCGGTGTGTGTATGTGAGAGCCAGGGAGAGGGGGCTATAGGTACACACACAGCCAGCCAGCCAGGCAGTTGGGACGGAAAGCTGTGCTGCTGTCCTAATCAACGACTTAAAGCCCCGATAGCAGCTCATGAATATTAAGCAGCGCTTTGCATATGCAGTCCCTCAGGCCCCGCTTCTGCTGTGATTGGTGGACGCTTGGCCAATGGCTGCGGCGAGAGGCGGAGTAAGGGGTGGAGACAAGGAGGGAGAGCAAGGGAGAGAGGGAGAAGAGCAGGTGGAGAGGGAGGGATCAGACAAAGAGCGATAGAAGCGAAGAGAGAGGGAGGGAGGAAGGAAAGGAGGGAGCGGAGAGGAGAGGAGAAAGAGACAGGTGAGGGAAAGATTTAAAGCAAGACATCCCGCTTTCTTTCTTTCTTTCATTCTTTGTCTCTTTATCAGCCAACCTTTCTGTTTCTGCCTCTCACATCAAGTCTTCCTCTAAAGTCTTTCTCCACTGGCCTCTGTTTGTCTCATCATGCACCTGCCACGTTAAGGAAAGAAAAGGGGGATAAAAACATTATTTCTTTTTTTGAACAAAGTTTAAGAAATACACATCTGTCAAGCAAAGGCTAAACATTTGAGTTATATCATGTTTCATAGCATATTTCACGTAGAAATCACAGATGTGTGTTAACTCAGCCGTAAAACACAAAATTGACCGAATCAAATCGAGAGAATTGCAAGATCAAAGGAAAAAGTGTAAGCTTGACCCTAAACCCTAAATAATGTGTCACACACACACACACACACACACACACGGTACAGCCGAGCCCATCACAGCTCAGCAGTAAAATACGGGATTATGGCAATTCCGAGGCCCTTGTCCTTTGTTGTGGAATGATTTGGGAATGATTGGGACGAGGTTTCCCCCGGTGCTCGCTGTTTTGTTGAGCTCCCCGCCGTCGTGTCACCTGCAGGTTGTGCGTTACCAGTATTTCCGATATTTCTAACAACTTGGAATGCGGGGTATTGTCAGTGCGAGAAGGATTCTCCAGGAGAATTATCTCACCGCTCCGCAGTCTCCGAGAGAGGAGGAGACAGAGGAACGAGAAAAGAGAGCGTGAGGAGAGACGGAAGGGTCTCTTCTCGAAAAAGGGGGAAAATGGGAAACCCACAGGGAGACTCAGATCGGCTTCGCCTCTTTCATTCTTTCTTTCTTTCTTTCCAAAATGTCCATTTTTTCAACCTGACTTTTCCAATGCTCAGAGACCCCTCCACACAGGATGGAGGGGGGAGAGAGAAGTGTGGAGGAGAGAGGGAGACAGAAAGAAATCAGAGGGGTGGAAAGGGGGGATGCAAAGATGAAAGAGAGTGGTTGTGATTAGCAGCTTTGGAAGAGAACAGATAATAAAACATTTCCTGAAACCAATCTCTGCTTTGATGTACGTGTGTGTGTGTGTGTGTGTGTGTGTGTGTGTGTGTGTGTGTGTGTGTACAACAGTAACTACAACCTCTTCCCTCTTTCTTGCTTTCTCTTTCCCTCACACACACATCCACAAACAAGTCAAATGTTTCACACCTCTATATTACTTCGCTAAAATACCCCTTGTTCTCTAATGACGCAACAACGCAAAATGAGGATATTCATATTGGTGTTGTATGCTGATAAAGCATCCATGTGGAGCTACATGGAGAAGTCAAAAGGCTCTTTCCTCCAATGTCAGGTTCCACACATGTCCGTGAGTGTTGTTATTACCTAATGGTTTTGACCCAGAGAGTGTGCAGCACTGAAATACACCGATAACATAGACAGACATGTATCGATGACAACATAACCAGGGCTAATAACTTTACTGCACATTTAAGTTGCTGTATTAATTCAAACCAGCTGTGATACTAGAACTTGTTTTAGCGTGTGCATCATAAGAGGATGATGACTTGCTTTTTAGGGTCTTTGCAGCAGTTTACAAATATGCACAATACAGGAAATACTTTTTAGGAGCGATGCAGGCGACAAAGACAGGGGCTTATGTGACATTTGCAAGCACACAAAACACACACTCACTGACGAGCTCTACTTGGGCATACGTACATTTGTCATTTGCACAGAGGTGCATGTATTCAAACACATGTATAGACAGATGCTATGAGGTTCATGTCCACAAGCGCGCGCACACACACAGACTTATGATGTATCCAGGGGCTTATAAGCATCGACAAAGATGAGTGTGAATCAATGCTGCCGTCACTACTGGGCAAACAAATCCTTTACCAAAACCTCTGTCTCTAACACACACACACACACACACCCACACACACACAGATAGAAACACAAACATCTGCAATCTCTATATCTGTGTAGAAAGATGCATAGATTTAATGCTCAACATAATATGTATTGAAAAATAGTGAATCTGCTTGTGGGATATTAATTATGAAATACACAAAAACGATCACATAAAAAATTGTTAAACAATGACAGGAGTTTCAGCAGAGATGCAAATCCAAATTCACACATTTCGGCGACTGCACTACAAACAAAAATATCTAAAAAAAAATGCGATGAACTGATCGTGTACATGAAGGTGCATGTCTTTGTTGCAGTTTACTTTAGAAAATATTCAATAACACTTTTCTTAGTAGAATTTTGTAATTTATGAATGTATGCAGTCTGCTAGAAAATGATTTTTAGGACACTGACCAGGACACCAGTTTAAGTACAAGCAGCAGTGTGTTTGATAAAACAAAGGCATTAAAGTGAAATCTAAGGATCAGGTTTCACTCTGCATACGTGTGGTGAGAGATGCTTTAAAAAGCTTTTCTCTGTTATGTAAATGGGGAGGCATTGTTATGGAGACACTAGAGTCCGAGACTGTGCTCTTTAAAACTTGTCAACACATATGTTCCACATATGTTCCTGAGGCGTCTGAATTTTCTATTTGAAATCGATACTGTCCTAAAATCTCAGCTATTTTATTCGAAGCCTCAAACAACCTTAGCTCCATCTCTCCTTCTGCCTCCTCTTTTTCCTCTCTGACCCCCATCGCCACCCACCCCACCCCCGTGACTATTGATTGGTTCTCAGTCAGTGTGCATGTTGACAGTGACCCCTTTAGGCCACTGCTCTGTCTCGCTGGACAAACCTGAGTGCCACGCAAACCTCTTAAAGACAAAGCTATTACAGTAAAAGCCAGGGAAATACCCTGTGTGTTCGTGTGTGTGTGTACTCGTGTGTGCCGGCTACCTTGCAATCAGGTTCCCATGATTTGTACAACTGTGGATAAAATGTCAACCCAGTCAAAATGCAGAATACAATCATAATTATTACGTTATACGTGCATGTGAACAGGCTTGTTTGCACCGTCTTCCCACTCAATTACTATTTGAAGGCTGTCGTACACCACTGATCTCTCACTCTTGTCTATTGTCTGTGATTATGTGTGTGTGTGTGTGTGTGTGTGTGTGTCTGTTTTGACCCTGTGGTGGCAGACTGTTGACATCTGTGGAAGAATTATCCATTGCAACTCTCACTGACATCAATCACAGCACTCGATAGGCCACAGCAAGTTCATTCAGGGCAGTGTGTGCACGTTTATGTGTGTGTGCATGTGTGTGTCTGTTCTGGTCAAAACAGTCTTTAACAAATTCAGGAGGCGGTCACTTAAGCAGCTGACCTCAGGCCACCCATTGACATGAATGCCAGTTACACACACACACACACATCACTTGACCGAGGCCACAACTGTAAACAAAGCTCCTGGACTGACTAATATGATGCTGAAAATTAAATTGCACCTGGTGTTTTTTCTTCCTGACATTTAATGATAATTAGGTTACAATAAATCATTTCAACAAAGTAAAGCTGAAAGAAAACTAAAAAGGAGCCATTTGGAAATGTAACAAAACACATAATGCTGAACTTGGCTTTTGGAAAGGGAAAGAGAGCTGCCAACGCAGGAGGGAAAGACAGAGAGGGGGAGGGATTATAGTTCACTACTAGCCAACAGAGGGAGCTATGGACTCTGGTCACTTTACAGCCAACTGCAGCACACAGACACATAGTTGTGTGTGTGCAGGAGTGTGTGTTTTTACATAGCGTGTAAGATTAAATCATCATAAATTTAAAAAATCATACTAATAAAAAAAATCACATATAGTATCCAATAACATCATAAAAACTAAAATCTTCTCACATACTCACACTTACACATCCACCTACCCACCCACCTACACACCTACACACACACACACACACACACACACACACAGTTACATTGCCAGCAGGAACGGAAGAGATGGAGCTAAGTTATCTGATAGCTCTGTCAGCAGGTACAGCAGAACACAGTGTGGAAACGGCCAATTTTACCACAGACCCCCCACCCGGCCCTCCAACCAGCTCCCCACTGAACCCAGAAAGACAAAAAGAAGGTAAAAAGGGAAACAGTGTGTGTGTGTGTGTGTGTGTGTGTGTGTGTGTGGGAGAGAGAGCAGGACATAGCAAGAATCTCAAAGCAGGGAGGAGAAAGTGAGATAGAGACCTGAAGAGGCATCTCTGTCACCAAACTGTCCAATTGGGGTAATAGCAGTGAGAGGCTTTACAGTCACAAGCTGTTATTAGGTAAACACTACACTTTAGCTGCACTTCATTTCAGGCTGTGTGTGACTTAGCCAGAGAGTGTGTATGTCTATGTTTTAGAGTATGTCACATTGCAACATTAGGACTTGGAGCTGTTAATAATTAACTTTTTAACCGTTAACCAATAATAAGAATTTCGACCAATTAATACTATCAGTTAAACAGCTAAAAAAAATTTTTTTAAATATAATATACTGGTGCTATGGGGGTAGATAATGAGATAGCAGAGTGTGCTGCTGCCCAGGCTGGAGTCGTATGCCGCCGCCAGGTCAACACCATGATGTTGCTCCTGGGAGACAAGCACCCCTCAACAAGCTTATGACCCTGAGGCAGAGGTGGACACTTATATGAGAGCGGCCAGTTCAACTTCTGCCCAGTTAGCACGGGATAACACAGCCACAGTGGCTAACATAAGCACCAAGCAGTTTAACAGTCCTAACAGACTCGCACCAACAACGAAAGGGCTTGACTCCATTGTTGTATTAGTAAATCCATTGGGTAACACTGGCTGTGTGATGCTAACA